AATAAGCGTTAAGTTCCAACGCGGGATGATCTGTTGTGGAGGTCAAGGGCGCAGATCATATGGCAATGTTCTCAAAACAATATGAAGTTTGCAATAATCCTTTGGAGATTGCCAATAAGTATGCTTGATCGGATATATACTTTCTAGGTTCTAATTCTAATAATAAATCTTTTACATCACTAGATACGTTAATGATAACAAAATAAATAAACGTTGTTGATGTTCCCATAAAAAAAAATAAATAAATAAATGTTAGTAATTTATTTTACATTTTAGCCAAATAAATTTCCTTGTGTGGTTCTTGTGAAAATTGGACATTCAGCTTTCAACACAAAATTTGTGTTCAATCTTTTGCATTCTTCTTGTAGTTGATATATATATATTTTCAATATAGGATTTATGTGTAAGTATGATGTTAGATGGATTAACAATGAATGAGCTTTGCAGAAATATAACTTGAACTCTAAAATTATATGAAAATATGTTAAAATCAATTAAACAACCTAATCCACTATGGATATTATCCATTAAGCCTATAATTTAAAAATGCATTAATATGAGCTAAAAGGTACTAATTCAAATATCAAGTATCTCTCTTACGCTTTATTAATATAGAATTTGCCTAAAATATCACATACACCCCCTTTAAATTCTCTGCCATGTCAATCCTGTCCAATACGTTTCAGTTTTACTCAGAGAAAAGTCGAAGTTAGAATTCTCCACATGTTTATTATACCATTTCCGCACGTTTATTATACCATTTCCGCCGTTGTATCTTTGTGGTTTGTCCATCTTTTATTCATAATTCATTAACGATTATATCCATTGTTTTTCTGAACCAAGGAATTTCAGATAATGAATTGTATCCATATTCAAAAACTTGGTGGTGTTATTGCCACAGCTTCAAAGGTTAACACCACAGCTTTTTTAATTAATTGACCATTAACCCACGCGGAGAAGGTGGTGACTGCTGCAAGAATTTACCAACAAAAAGACATCTGATCATATGTAATCAATTACGTAATCACTTGAACAGGCTTCATACGTTTCAACAATTTAGCCGGCCTGTACAAATTTTCGGTTCAACATTTCATGCCAGGCCAGCTTCCCTTTGAGCTCTATAAAAGGCAGAGCAGCATCAATACTACGGACTACCCCATTCAAAGAGAATATTAACATGGCAGAGAATCACACGCAGCAAAAGCATTTCGTTCTAGTACATGGCCTAGGTCATGGAGCTTGGTGCTGGTACAAACTCATTCCCCTCCTCGAGTGCGCAGGCCACAAGGTCACGGTGGTTGACCTTGCAGGTGCCGGGATCAACTTGAAGGAAATAGGCCGAGATGTTCTTACATTCCATGAATACACTGAGCCATTGTTGAAGATTTTGGCCTCACTGCCTCCTAATGAAAAGGTCATACTTGTAGGGCACAGCCTTGGCGGCATGAGCTTATCTCTGGCTATGGACACCTTTCCAGACAAGATTTCAGTTGCCGTTTTCATAACAGCACTCATGGCAGATACCATTCACAAGCCATCATATGTTATAGATCAGGTGAATTTATCTTCTAGTGGTTTTGGGTTTAGGATATCACATATACATTGCATTTTAATGATTATATTGTTTATCTAATTTGTACGTTCTCCATAGTATTTAGAGAGTGTCCCAGAAGAGCAATTCTTGGACACGGAGTTTATACCCTCTGGCACCCCTGAACATCCTCTAACCTTAACAATACTCGGACCAACGTACCTGTCTTCCAACCTTTACCAGCTCTCCCCCATTGAGGTATCTCTCTTGCTTTCTTTCTGCTACATTACTTGTGTTGTACATATTTGGATATATAACATAAACGTTAATTTGTGTCTGAAGGACCTGGAACTGGCGAAAACATTGCTTAGGCCAGGATCATTCTTTCAACAAGATTTGTCCAAGGCAAAGAAGTTCACCAATGAAGGTTATGGATCAGTGACTCGAGTTTTTGTTGTGTGCGATGAGGATAGAACAATAAACATTAAGTTCCAATGCTGGATGATCGAGAACAATCCACCTAAAGATGTTTTGGAGGTCAGGGGTGCAGATCATATGGCGATGCTCTCAAAACCACATGAAGTTTTCAATCGTCTTCTGGAGATTGCCAATAAATATGCTTGATCAGATATAGACTTCTAAGTCCTAAATTCTAATAATACATCTCTTGCATCACAAGATATGTTAATAGTAACAAAATAAATAAATGTTAGTGATGTATTTTACGTTTTGCCTACAACTAAATAAAGGTACTTGTGCAATTCTGCCAATTGACTTCGTTGGAACATGGGGATGTGAATAAGTGAAAAGCGAATTTTTATTTGAGTCCACTGTTTTGCAATCTAAACTACACTAGGTTGCAAAATAAAAACTGTTAAATAGAAAGGGTGCTCTTAATATTAAGAACGAACCTGTTTTACAATCCAAACTACAAAATAACTTTGCATTTTTATTTTTTTATTTTTTTTATTTTTGTATTTTTTATATATTTGAATCTTGGACTTTTCACAACCTCATCAAGTTCTTATCTACTACATCAAACTAAAACACAACCACATATTGGTCAGAACTGGTGACAACCTTGACCTCATCAACAGGATCGTTTTCAATCACATACCTTTCCAAGTCCTTCGTGATAACTTTGTCTTGGCCACAAGCAATATACACTCAATGCACCGATCCATGTTTCTCCTTGGTGAGCAACAATACATTCAGAGATACTGCTTCTTTATAGAGAAAAGCTGGTTTTGCTAACAGAGTTGTGAGAATTCAACCCTGCTATAATTTATTTTATGAATGAAATTAGAAACATTGGCTGTGAAAGAAGCAAGAAAAACTGCATCTAATTGATGCTACCGCAATTTGAATTGCCAAGGTTTTAGACTCTTACCTCAGGAGGGGATAGGTTGTATTTGAATCCAAGATTCTGTGAGACCATGAAAGCAAAGCAAATATTGAGGGAGCGGGAATACCTGAGTGAGCATGTCACTCTGTGAATTATTGCGTAAAGCAGAGTTCTTGAAATCTTCTTAGTCTGCAAGGAAAATAAGCAGCAAAGAAGCAATTAGATATTCGTTTCCTTCTAGTGTTAAGAAACCCCTATGGTAAGTTTATCTGAATGCTCAGATCCACGAGTCAGTTACATGCACATAATCATAATAATGAAACAAAAGAAATCTAAAACTCATAAAACATGCCATTCTATAAGCTGTTGCTTTGCATCTTCTGATTGCTCATGCCAATATGAAGTTCTTTATTACTCCACTTATCCCAAAAAGCACATTAACACTTCTAGGGACGTAACTTGAATGTTCAAATTTCAAAAGATACTTATTAGACTATTGACCAAACTTAATATAATCTTTTGCATTAGAAATGGAGAAAGAAGATAGAGACAAAAGGATTTACTGTATAATCAAGCTGCCAAATATTATGGTAATAAATCATTTGCTTTACAGTAATAAAGCAAAACAAGCATAAATGAGAAAAGGGAGCACCTCTTTAGAAGCACTTCTGGGTTATATGGAAACAAATTCTTCTGATGAAGATTTTCCATTGCTGTTTTTAGAGAAAGCAAACAATCTCTTGCTTTCCAATATGCCTGTTCTCCAGCTGTATTCAATTCACACCAAGTGAACTTTGTCAGTGTCTCTTAGAGATAGGACGCAAATATAATTAGTATTTTTCATTTGTTTGACATACTAGGACCTAACTATTTAATATTATAAGAACTTGAACTAATAATTTTAATTATAAATTAAAATTTTTATTTTAATAGATATTAATTTAATTAGGCTCTGGCTCGTAATTAGTATTTTTTAGTTGATGACATAAGTAATATCCTTACAAAACCTTTTCATATAAAGTTGTCATGCATGGTATTTGGACAAGGAAATGTTATTGTCTTTGCTAGGAACGACGTGAACCTAGCACGTGAAAAAATGTTGTTTCCTAGTAATGATATAATGCTTTTGTTTCCATTATGCCATGAAATGATCTATAATGTGTTTGCTAATATGCGCCTAAAGATTTTGTTTTAAATACCCCTAAAAAATTAGATTCTAAATCTTAAATTCATTCAAATTTGAAAGTTGAGGTAGGTGAAGAGAGAGTTAGGGATGTGGTTGGACTGTTAATTACCTAACAGTCAAACATTCAACTTTTATTTTTTGATTTTTCTAAGAACACATATTAATGATACTTTTTTGTAATAAATTTGCATAAGAAAATGTAAAAGTAAACATTAATTTTAGTATCATTGTCATGTGGATACATTTAATTAAACAGTGATAAATTGGATATTACTTTTTATTTCTTTAAAATTTTTAACCTGTATCCTAAAAATACCAATTAGAATAACTCTTTATTTATTAATTTTTTATTCACCTAGTGGGACTAGTGGGACCAATTCCTTTATTATTATTATTTTTTTGGTTCTATATTATTCTTTTTGGTTTTAGCACTTAAACTAACGGAATCCGTTAATTATCCGAATCCGTTAATTATCCGTTAAAATGAGAATAAAATAATTATATCATTAATCCTCAAAGATTAAAAATGTAACAATTTAGTTCTAAAAGTTCAAAAATTATAAAAATTAGTAAAAAATAATTAGTAGATTATTTTTTCACATATACTAAAATAGCATTAGATATTTATAATCAAATTGAGCGATTAACTCAATTTGAAGAAATAATTTTGATTGAAATTAAAGAGAAATTCTTAACTAAATTAAGATAAAAAATTTAAGAGACTAGAAAAATATAACTAAGAAATTTTCTTTAATCATAGTCAAAATTTATTAGTTAGATTAAGTTAATCACTTGATTTAATTATAAATGTCTAATATTATTCTCATGTATGTAATAAAGTCATTCACTAACTATTTTTAAGTTATTAATTTTTTAAGTTATTAATTTTTTTAATATTTAAACTTTTGGAACTAAATTGTTACATTTTTAATTTTTAAAAATTAATCTTATAAATATTTTTTTCACTTCAACAAAGAATTAACAAATTTTATTAATGGATAAAACATTACTAAACAAAAGTTAAATATTTGACTGTTAGGCAATTAACGATCAAAGTTAACAACAAAATAGATGGCATCAAATTAAGGATGACATCTAACAAAAAAAGAGTAGTAGAAGGATGACATTTATGATGTAAGAAAAGTAGAGGGATGATATTACACATTGCCTTAGTGGAGGGATGGTAATGAGCATTTTCACAAAGTACAAGGACTACAGTTGGCTTTAACCCAAAATCGATGCTTTAATATGTCCCTCACCTTATCGATTTTGGGGTTTTTGTATCCCTCACGTTTTAAAAAAAGGATGTTTTGTCCTTTTACTTTTCAATTTGAGTAGAAGGGACAAAATTTTACCTCTTGTTATGCATAGCCCACTGTTACCGTGTCATGTCAGCGCTACTTGAGCATCAGACCATGATCACATGGGTACCCCATTTTATATGTTGTTTGGCAGACAGAAACTTATATTTTGCCTTTTATCTTACTGATTACGAGGATTTTTGTTTATTATAATGTACAAATTTTTCTCATCTAACTTGTCGATTTCTTCGGCAAAAAAAAAAAACCTTGTCGATTTCAATAAATGAGATAAAATTTAATATTTAATGGTCAAGCGCAACACATTAACCTTAAAATTTTGTTATATAATAATACATCAATATCATATAAAATCATTTTTACATGTAAGCGACATGCCAATATCAACTTGGACTTATTCATTTTTGCCATGGACCACCGCTCCTCTATTTAATTACGAGACAGCCATGTAAGTCAGTCCCCAGTTTTCGCCTTTCTATTATTTTTCCATTGGGTAATGACAAATTAAATTTAGAACATGATTTCTCTGACCTGCTGTTGGTGTCCTATTCGAGTTTTGATAAGAAAGTGTTGTCAAAATTCAATAGTTGAGGCGGCTGGGGACATAAACTAGAATAACTCCGCCACCTAACACT